AGATTATGGGCTCAATCCCCAGTAGGGGGCGTGAGAAGGCAGCCCATTAATGATTCTATCTCATCATTGATGTTTCTATCTCTCTCCCTCTCCCTTCCTCTCTGAAACCAATAAATAAATTTTTTAAAAAAGAAATAATAGTAATACTAATAGCAGTTAACAAATACTAAGCACTTAATATTATGACAGGTGTGGTTTTAAGTGTTATACATTTGGTAATTGATTTAAACCATACAGCAACTGCATGGGGTAAGGACATTCTTAGCTTTGTTTTATCCATGAAGTAACTGGGACTCAGAGAGGTTAAGTCACTTGCCCAAGGTCACAGTCTCACTCAGGATGTCTGGGTGCACAGCTCGTGCTCCCCACACTGACTAGCCTTCTCCTAAGAGAAAGGCCCACGATGCTCATCCTGTCACCATCCCACACCCCACACTGTCTAGGATCTTGGTGTCTAGCCTTGCCCGCACATAACTTCCTGGGGGAGCTGTCCCTGGGGAGCTGCTCTGTCCTCAGGAAGTGCTTCCTCACCTGTTGCCTGTCCCTCCCACCAACTGGGGTTAACCCTTTGTACACCATAAGTGTCTATAGATGCAATTAAATTAAAAATATTGTGGCGTGTGGGAATGGTTTCCATTTTGGACGTGTGGCAGTTAACTGGGTAATTTGTCTTAGAGGCCACAGAGAACACTGTCTCATTAATTGGTGACATGAGACATTCAACCTGGGTTTTCTAATCATTTAGTCATCAATTTAAACATTATTTGATACCATGTCTGTGCCCAGCCCTATTCTGGGTAATATTGGGGACAATAGTGACCAATTCAGGACCCTACTCTCAAAGAGTTTACAGTCCAGTGGGGGAACAGTGAGGACCCAGAGTGATCACGGTTGGGAGGGGGAAGCACAGGGCATTGTGGGAGCTCAGAGGAGCCTGGCCCAACCTGTGGAATCAGGGAGGGCTTCCTAAAGGAGGAGACATCAGAGTTGAGACCTGAGGGATGAGGAGACCAATCAGGAAGAGGCAAGAAGAGTTATTCCCATTAAAGCAGCACTTCTCAAACTTTAGAGTGCATGTGAAACCCCCGCTCCATCACCTTGTGAGAATGCAGATTCTGGCCTGGATAGACATAAGATGCTGCATTTCTAACACACTCCTTGGTGATGCCAAAGCTTCTCATACAAGAACCACACTCTGAGAAGTAAGGTACTAGGGATCAAGAGGAAGTTCATGTTCTGCCTTGGCGGGTAGGTAAGGGGCAGAGCAGGAGCCAGGGATGAGATTGGAGCCAAATCATTCTGGGTCTCAGAAGCCATGCTTTGTAGCTTGTACTTTATTTATTTATTTAATATATTTTTATTGATTTCGGAGAGGAAGGGAGAGGGAGAGAGAGAAACATCAATGATGAGAGAGAATCATTGATTGGCTGCCTCCTTCAAGTCCCACACTGGGATCAAGCCCACAACCTGGGCATGTGCCCTGACTGGGACACAAACCATGATCTCCTGGTTCATAGGTTGATGCTCAACTATTGAGCCACACCACCAGGGCTATAGCGTTTACTTTATATGGGTGCCCTGGGGAGCCATGGGAGGGACTTGAGCAGGAGAAGGGTGCAGTCAGAATTAGGAAACCCCTTCTGAATAATGAGTGGTCTTTATTTTTTTTACAATTGATTTTAGAGAAAGGAAGAGCCTGAGAGAGAGAGAGAGGCATTGATCAGTTACCTCCCATACATGCCCAGACCCGGGATGGAGCCTGCAACCTGAGTGTGTGCCCTGACCAGGAATGGAACCTGCCACCTTTTGGTATAGGGGACAATGCTCCAACCAACTGAGCCACACTGGTCAGGTCACGAGGGGTCTTTAAGACTGGACACTGGGAGCTCAGGGAGGCTGTGGGGAGGAGAAGAGTAGTGTCTGGCTTGGGTACTGGGCATGGTGGGGCCACCCTTGAGATGGGAACAGGAAGGAGCAGCTGGTAACCCACCCCTGGCTACCACATATACAGGCCCTTTGGGTTGGGCCCTCTCTGCAGGCCACTTGAGACCATGGAGCGGCCTCTCTGGGTAGTTGGGATATCTCATTCCCCCGCCCCCGAATTTTTTAGTACGGCCTTCTTGCCACCTCCCCAGCCGTTTCTAGTTTTAAAAGGCCCTGTCACACCGGCCCCCAAGGACCATAGGTCTGACAGATGGCCAGACAGGCTTGGGCAAGGAAGCCAAGACAGAATGGAGCTGCCAGATTTAACCCTGTATCCCCTTCTTCCCAAGAAAGGACAGCTCACTGGGTAAGGGAATGCCCAGGTTCCATTCCTCACTTTCTGTTGCCCACTGTGAGCCTGTTTTCTCTTCTATGAACTTGGGATCCTCATGTCCGCCTCTTAATCATAGTAGTAGTTTATAATATTTATGGTGCTTCCTACATGTTGGCATAGTGCTCAGCACTGCACAGCTATTGCCTCCTCTATCCTCACAACAACCTCATGAGGAAACTATTTTCATCATCCCCACTTCACAGATAAGAAAGTGGAGGTCTGAGGCAAAGCACCTTGCCCAGAGTCAGCCAGCCGTGGCAGAGCTGGGACTGAGCCCAGGCAGGCTGGCTTTCGCTGTCTGCCCACATGCCCTCAAGTCCCACTGCCACGTGCACTCATGGCTGGAGGGGTGCTTAGCTCCACACACCAATGTGCTAAACAAAGGTTCACCAAAGGCCTCCTGGGAGCCAGAGCTCATACTGCATGGGACTGAACCCATCTGGGAGCCCTGCTCTCTCAGGGCTCCAAGTCCAGTGCAGGAGACAGACAGACATAGGTGATCAGAGATGGCCCAGTGGCAACCTCCAATGCCGTTTTGGGTCATGGTCACATCCTTGGCCACATGAATGTTTGGACCCAGGAGCAGCACTTGACATTTTTTCTCCTTTGTGCTGCTTCCGCTGTTTAGTTTCCAGCAGCCTCTGTGTTCCCAGCCAGGTGGGCAGAACCCCTGGCCATACTGACCCCCAGGCCCTGGAACAGTTTTGAGACACAGCTGGGCAATGGGAGGCAGAAGAAGCCTAGGCAGGTGAGAAGGGAAGTGGGCACAGTAAGGGCCTGGCTACCACCTCCTGTCTCTAGTTCTCCCAGACCCCTCCTTTGACCCTGTGTTCAACACCTCTCTCCCTAGGTAGTGATGGCTGCAGCCAATGGAGACAGAGCCCGGGTCCTACGGAAATCCCAGGACCTCAAGCTCCTCACAGGCTTTGAAACCAAGGTTGGGAGACACTAGAGGAGTAGGGGCTGGTGTCTGTTGGGGGGCATGGGGGCTGCTTAACTCTCTGGGGGAATGGGGGAACTGCTGATCTATACTGGGGGACTCTGGGGAGGACTAGGGGAGAATGGGGACTACTTGGCCTGTCAGTAATCCTGGGAAAATGGGCACCACTTACCTATTCTAGAGGGAGGGAGTGGGGGAATGGAGCTGCTTCTCTGTACTATAGAGTGAAGTCTGCTTGTCTATTGGAGGCTCTGAGGGAGTGAAGGGCCCTTTTTGGGGGGAGGAGTAAGGGGCTGCTGATTTTCTGGGGGCTCTGGAAGGGGTCTGGTGCTTGTGTTTACACTCCAAACTGCGGAGCTGAGTGCTGCTTGTTGGTTCTTGGTTAAGAGAAGGGCTCTGCCTCTGTTCTCCCCGACCCTTAGGCATTCTCCGATGCCCATGTGGAGGCTGTGATGATCCTGGGAGAGCCCTTTGCCACCCAGGGCCCATATGACTTTGGGGCGGGGGACACTGCCCGCCGTGTGCAGGGCCTCATCCCGGTGCTGCTGCAGCACCGGCTCCGCCCACCGCCGGAGGAGACCTATGCCCTGCACCGCAAGCTGGCGGGGGCTTTCCTTGCCTGTGCCCGTCTGCGTGCACGTATCAACTGCCAGGACCTCTTCCAGGACGCCTACAGCCGCTACTGGGCCAGTCGCCAGTCTCAGCCACTGCCGGAAGCCTCCTGACCAGAGGGGCGGTCTGATCAGACCACTCAGACAGCTTCCCGCTGGGGAGTCGGCCAGTAGAGGGCCGTCCTCCCTGAGATGCCTCCTTCCCACGCTGCTCTGGTCTGGGGACCCCACCCAGGCTTCCCAGTCTTGCCTAGCACCCTTCCCTGGGGACTGGGGAACCCTGGGGCTAGGGAACTCCCCATTTCACACTCCCATATCCTGCTCTCCCCACCCCACAGTGGGCATCCGGGAACTCTACTCCAGGGATTGATTGATTTCTGCCAACATTTGAGAGAGCTTCAGGCTCTCTGCATGCCGAAGTGGAGATGCAGAAGCATTTAGAGGGGAGCCCTTCGCCCGTGCCTCGGGTCTCCCACAGATCTGGCCAATGAGAGGGGAGGGGTGGTGGTTGGTGGAGGCAGCCTCCCTCGCCCCTTCACCAGCTGCCTTCTCCCTGCCCATCCTCTCTGTGTTGGGGAGGGGTTGGGGGTGTTTGAACCTTCAGTCTGAATAAAAACGAACCTCCCCTTGTCCAGCTCTTTTCTCTGCGCTGGGGTGGAGGGGAAGGAGGCTAGGACGAGAACGGCCTCCAGGTGCAGATGGTCAGCCCCCTCCACCCTCTTGTCTGAAAGCCTCAGTTCTGCACGGGCCATCTGTTGCTAGAATCCTCCTTCTCCCCTTTCTCTCCCACCCCTTACCCCTCCCGCACGTGCTGACCACCTGCTCACAAGACTGTGGCAGCTGAGAAGGCCTTTCCCCACACCACCACCCCTGACGCCCCAACCTCGCCTTTGCTAATGGGCCTTTATGCCCCTGCCAGCTGCTTTGCCAAACCCACAGGATCCGGAGGGAGCGGAGGTCGCAGCGGCGGCCAGAACCGCGCCCTAGTCCCAGCCGGCGCCCCCACTGCCTTTGCAAAACGGATCCGCACTAGGACGCAGGGGTCTGTTCATTTCCCCTCCCCTTCGTGGCAAAAAGTGCCTCGTCACCGCTTCTCCCGCCCCCGTTGGGCTGGGAAAACCGTGGGGTTAGCTGGAAGGTTTGAGGATGTGGGGCGGGAAGCCTTTTCTCGAAGCAACTCTTTCAGATGCAGAACTGAAGGAGAGCTGAGGTCAGTGATCGAGGAGGGGAAGGGAGTGCCGGCCTCGAAGGCCCTGGAGGGAAAGTCAGCGAGGCTCCGGTGCTCATCCAGTCAAGGACTGGTTAATGGGCGTGGCTGAGCGGCGGACGCACCAGAGAAGGCGGGGTCACACTGGCGTGTGGGCGTGGCTTGGTGACAAAGGGGTGGGGCCAGGGCCGGCCTGGGCGCAGGGCCGGGGCGGGGTCT